AGGGTTCCAGTTTCTCCACAACCTCGCCAGCATTTGTTGCTTGCTGTTCTGTTAAATTTTGCTATTCTGACTGTGGTGAGATGATATCTCATAGTTGTTTTAATTTGCATCTCTCTTAGAGCTAGGGATTTTGAACATTTCTTCATGTGCTTGTTAGTCATCTGAATGTCTTCTTCGGTGAAGTGTCTGTTCATATCCTGTACCCATTTTTTCTATTAGATTATTTACCTTTATCTTGTTGTGGTGCTCAAGTATTTTATAAATTATGGATATAAGTTCTTTATCTGATATTTCATTACCAAATAATTTTTCGCAGTCTGTGGCTTCCCTTTTTACCCTGTTTGAGAAGTTTTTGGATCTGCATAGGAATTTGATTCTTAGAAGATCCCATTCACCTACTTTATCTTCTCCTGGTTGTAGGTGTTTATTTTGTTTTATATGGATGATTTTTTAAAAAAACACTTTTAAGAGGTTTCCTTTTTCCTTTTTGGGTGAAAAATTTTTTAAATGATATTTTAATGAAAGTTTATAGAGATTTTGGGTTTATCTTCACTCATGGTTGCACATTTTCCTCCCTACCCACCCCTCTCCCCGTTGATTTTCTTTTTGAAAAGTAAAAAAAAACAACAAAACAAAACAAACAAACAACAACAAAAAAACCCTAACTGACTTTCATTATTATACAATTACACCCAAGTTTACTCCTCCCTGAATCTCTCATTCTGGACTCTTGTAATGAAAATAATACCTAATCATATATTCCTTTCAAACAGTTCTCTCCTTCATCTGTTTCAATGCAGTATATATCATTTAAACTCTTTTCTTAGATTTCCCCTAACCCCAATGCCAGTCCTGTTTTTTAACAGTGGCACTTTCAATCTATAAACCAGGAGCCCTGCTGGTGTAGTGGCAACATTTTAGGCTACTAAATACTGAAGAGCAACAGTGTCTCTCCGGAGACTAAGGTCCGCCTGATACAGACCATGGTTTTTGCAATCACTTGTTATGCATCGGAGAGTTGGACAATGACTAGGGAGGATAGAAGGAGAATTGACGCCTTTGAGCTGTGGTGCTGGAGAAGAGTATTGAACGTACCATGGACTGCCAAGAA